TGAAGCTGTTTAATGTTAGCAAACAGGTTTTACAATTAAAATAATTAATTTAGGTTAAATATGCGTAATATTTACCTGTGAAACATAACCCTTTTAGCTCTTGTAAACATGTTGTAACAATCTATGTAGTTTATAGTAAAGTATTTGTACCATTTGTACATTTATAAAGAGTTTATTTGCACTGCGCTACGTTCTGCTCATTGATTTCAATGGTTAGCGTTAGCATTAGCTCAGTGAATAAAAATCCCCCTTGCAAAGCACACCCAGGTCACATGACGCCCAATCCAGTAATATATATCAATGAGTGAAATTTATAAGCCTGTAATTTTGATAAAAAAAGAATGAATTTGTCTAACTCTTGTTTTTAAAATCATCAAAGTAGTTTGCTGTAAAYTCCCTCCACCCTGAAAAGGAACAGTTGAAGTAGGTTTAAAATGACCTTCTGACCACAGCTGAAGTGTTTCTCCTCCAGATGTTCCCGCTGCCTCTGCTCTATGCAGGGAATCAGATATCTGGGCTGTTTGGGACGCAGAGACTGAAGTGAGAGATTTAACCTTCTTCTGTAGCTCAGTTCCTCTGAGTTTGAAGTTCTGAATGTGTCTCTCTGTGTTCTACTTCCTGTCTCAGTTTACCCATGTTCACAGTTCTCAGGAGGTTCAGTATTTTTCTCACCATGGTGTTTGAGGGACTCCTGCTCAAGTACGTGAGTTCCTCCTTAATCCGTCTGCTCTTTGTCGAGTGCTGCCTTGCAAAATGAAAATTTCTCCCGTTTCTCCGCAGAAAAACCTTCTCTGCTTCCGTTAAGATGACGGTGTTCACCATGATCTTTGGTGCTTTCATTGCAGCGAGGTGAGCTGGCTCTGGAACCTTTCTCTCTTTAACCTCTTAGACCCAAAGGGGTTTTCCTGATGTTTTTGCTTGAAATACCATGCTGAAATGTAACTGAGTGTATCTCAGCATTTACTAATCTACTTAAATATTCTTGGTATCAAAATAAAGCTAACACTTGAGAGATTTCATCAGAAGTGTGAGTATTAAAACAGCTGCTGTAGTTTTAAAGATACTGGGGATGGAACATAATATTTTTAATTTTTTCCCTCTTGTCCGGATAATTTTTTTTTCGTTTGACAGTATATAACCCATTTAAAACCATAATGATGAAGGCTAAAAACTCTTGGAAACCATAAATCCACTTGTGGACATTAACTGTGCAAAGATTTGTGCTGCTAAAATMAACTGGASCAAAGTCACAGAGGTTTTAGTAAAGAAATAATTTTGCATTTTGTCATTCTGCACAGGACAGACCATGATGACCATTAATAAATGTTAAGAAATCTGAAGTTTTTACATCAAAAAGTTATTTATTTTTTCTTAGCTGCCTTAAAAGACTTGTTAGTGAATGTTTGTTCTTTTGAAAAATTATCCAAACATTTTTGTCACCATTTATATTATATAAAATAATGAGAAATTATATTTGATTCAGTTGGATAATATTCACTCAAAATCAAGTGAAAAAAAACTTTCAACACAATTTACAACATATTTAGGTATCTATTTTGACTTGCTTTAAAAAATAATGTCTAATTTTTTTCCTTCACAGATTTGTTGTAATGTATTTACAGATTTGCAACAATCCCATTTTGTAGTTTGTTTACTTTCTGATTAGGGTTGGGCATAATCGTATGTGTGCAATTAATCGTCAGAAAAACATTAATCGACTAATTTTTGGCAATTGACGATTAATATGATTAATGTCACCAGGCAGACTAACCACTTGGTGTTCCTCTCTGATTTAAATATGACCAACATTAAAAAAAAATTGTGTAATTAATCTATCAACACAATTTAAAGTTTGATGAATAGCCTGAAGTCTGTAATGTTGACACAATTTGGAACAGATTTTTACGAAGAGACAATTTTCTCCCTATAAATTGGTCATGTGACTAGGATATAAGGGTGTCCAGGGACTCTGGGGGATTAATCGTCAAATTAATCGTTATCGGCTAAATACCACAATTAATCGTGATTTTTTTTTTTTGCCAATATTGTCCATCCCTATTTCTGATTCAACTGCTTGACGTTTGAATTGTGTTTGGTGGATGTAAATATAGTTTCCATGAGCTAGTGTTGTAGTCAAGACCACCTAACCCGAGACCGAGACAAGACCAAGACCAGATTAAAAAAAAGGTGTCCTAAACGATGGAGTATTCTGTACACATGTACACTGGAGGGAAAAAGTATTTTGTCTCTCATAGTTGAGGTCTAATTATGATGTCAATCACAGGCCTCTCTCATCTTTTTAAGTGTGAGAACTTGAACAATTGTTGCTGACTAAATACTTTTTTTGTCCCACTTTAGCTAACTTAATATTAATTAATTAATATTAGCACTAATATTGACAAAATCTTTGTTTGAGGGCAGGGGAAAGAATTTTGCTACGGAGGCAGATTGTTAATGTTAGTGACAACAAAAGTTTGACGTCTCATCGTCTCTGAAAGTGAAGCATTGCCGAATGTACAAGTTGCTGTACACTTTCTCCTGGTTGTTGTTTTACAATGGTACGATTTATGAAWAATGTAGCCAATTTTTTTACTTAAGATTTTGAAGACATCTTTTATCGCTCCCAGAGAACCACGGTTCACTTTCTGGGAGTGTCCTGATGCATCTCAGTAATCCAGGTAAAAAATCAAAAAGAAAAAAATTGTATAGGTCTTCTGGACGGGTTCTTCTTCGGAGAAACTGGGACGTTTATTTTCTAAACATGATGTCCCAGTGG